TTTAAAAATATTATTAACAAAAAATGAAATCCCTGAAAAAAATTAAAAGATTAAACAAAAAACTGAAATTGCAAGGAAATAACATACAAGCTACAACCAGGAAATAAAAAATTGAAATATTAATAAAAGCCGAAAATTTAAAAATATTATTAACAAAAAATGAAAAATAACTGTGATAAGTGTTATCACCTGAAGGCGATTGTGGATACTAAAAATCGAAACGTCATTATGTAACTTGGTTTGGAATCTCTCAATTTTCATTTTTTGTTAATATTTTTTAATTTTCGGCTTTTATTAATATTTCAATTTTTTATTTTCTGATTGTAGCTTGTATGTTATTTCTCTGTAATTTCAGTTTTTCGTTTAATAAAATTGTTATTTTCAGTTAATCTTTTTATTTTTTTCAGGGATTTCAAATCAGTTTATATTATATTAGACAATGGAAGTCCGAACTGATGAAATATACCCAGTTTGGTTTCGATTAGGTCAAACTCAATAAAACACATGAAACACCAACACTAATAAAACACATTAATGAATTACCACAAAATATATTATTACAAAATAAAAAAATAGCCAGATTCCTTAGGATTCTATGATACACAAGTCTTCATCCACTTCATCTTCTGGAGGGTTGAGTTTCCTTCTCTTAGACGACCCTTCCTGGGGGTCTTCTTCTGGAGGATCTTCCTGATCGTCATCCATTATCATCAAATCATCATCACTGTCTACGTCCTTCGCCTCTACTCCATTTTTGGTCTCAGATTCTACTGCTAAAAAAAATTGGTTACTAAACTCACTGAAATTATAGAATGATAACCTTTTGGAGATCTACGTGTTTCATTTTGAGAAAATCTTCGTAATATCATAAACAACTCAGTCAAAATCAGAACTACCGGAGTGCCCTCCTTCCAGATTATAACAGAGGGTCGAATAGACCCACTCACTTCATTTAGACCTACCCCTCCTTTTATACGATAAGATTATCGGACATATTATCAGAACAAGCTTTCAAATGACTTGTGGCTTCAATTTAACGGAAAAATTGGATATGTTTTAATCCAAATCAGATAACAGCCACAAAGCTCAAAAAAAATTATTGGTTGTTATTTTTTGAAGATAATTTTCTATTATAAATTTGTCAAAATATTATCTCATTGTCAAAAGCCATCTATAAATTCACATTCTAATAGGTGGAACTGTAACCTCTGACTTGAAATATATCTATTGAAAATAGTTTTCCCACTTCTAAACAAAAAATACAGTCTCTAGTCAAGCGTTTCGCTAACAAAGTTAGCATGATCAGGAGTTCAAGAGACTCATCTCCTGATGATGCTAACTGGGTTAGCGAAATGCGCGTCGTGAGACATTATTTCTGTTCAGGTATATTCACAAAATGAAAATAGATTTTAATACTTTTATACAGATAAGCAAAATATAGATTCAACAACAGAAAAGTGGCTTGTATTATTTCTCTTTTGTGTTTCGTAAAATTATCATTTATATATACTCTCTCTTTAAAATGTTTTTTCGTTAACTAGCTTTTTTCCCCCTACACGGGGGGAAGACAGCTGGTTCACAAAAAAACAGTTTAAAACTTCAAGAATACCAAGAAGATAATCAGTGAAAGACTTTTTTGGATGAGACAATATTTCTTAGTTTTTTCGAGTACATAATCTTTAATATTTTGAAAAAATAAACAAAGCTAAATCAAAAGAGAATCTGCTGAAAGGTAATGAATGACTAACTGAAAAGCTCCCCCAAAAAGTTATTGCGTAATATAACCATCAAAGGGTCTTATTCACACTATGAGTCTATTCATCACGACAGTGTTAAAAAAGATATAATCAGATATTCATATGATTTGCTTAAGGTAGTTTGAAGCTCTCAATAAAATTGGTAAAACCAATAATCCGCATAATACACAATCATATAAAACCCAACATCACACTCGAATGTTGAAAGTGCTTTTCAAACCGAGATGGAAGCACCACTGAAGAAGATGGCCATGCGTGCTAGCGTTGAAAAGAAATTTCGCAAGAGACGCACAAATTCTAGACATAGAACAACCAATGAACGAACAGAGATAAGAAAATGATAAAAGTACAAATGTTATTAAACAAGGACTTCCTATTGATATAGGATATCCAAAAATCTTAAGAGAAGAAATGGAAAACTGTATAAAAACAGGAATGGGACTAACAGTAGATATAAATGAAGCAAGAAAACAGGGCAATAAGGTATGTTTCGTAGAATAATAAACTATGCAAGAGAAGCTCAAAGTAATGCAAAATAAAAACATTTTAAAGAGAAAGTATACGTAAATGATAATCTCACAAAACAAGAAAGAGAAATACAAGCCCAAATAAGAAAAATTGTCTAAAGAGAAGGAAGATAATGGAGAAAACGTAGAAGTGAGACACCAGAAACTAATTATAAACAACATAGTCGGTCGGTAGCCAGGCGTTTCAACGTGGGTGCTCGTTCACTCATTCGAATTGACTGCCGTGTTGGTCGGTGGTTCAAGCCCTAGTCTGAACGATCGATCTTCACTTGCTATCGTCCAACCCGTGTTAGGAATCACACGTTAAAAGGTAAGACCTCGTTAATCCTTAGCTCGCACAAGTTTCGACTTCTGAGGGTTGTCGTTCGTAGGGGTGCGACAGCTGGTTAACGGAAAAACAGACAGATTTTAAACAGATAGATAGTGTGAAAATAGAAATCGAAAATGAAGTCGCTAGAGGAAGTGAAAAACAATAACACAATAAACTAGCAGTTCAAAGTCAATTCCGACTAATAAATGAACAAAAATAAGGGAAATCACAACAACAAAAAACAAAAAAAGAAATATATATTGAAAATAGGACCATGAAACTTAAAGAGATGTTATCAAGCTGGTAAACTGGAACATTTAATAAAAGAAGTTGAAAAATACCCATTTTAAGTATTGACCAGAAGATCACATACACATACATGCACCCTTGGAAGAAAAAACTGTATAGATCAAAGAACAATTCTACAATGAACAACGCCAAGTTTTTGAAAGCATCCCCAAGTACAATCTAAAAATTGTTTCAGGAGATGCAAACGCAACAATAGGCAGAGAAGAAATCACTCCAACGATTGGAAAATATAGATATAAAATCGAATACAATAGGCATTTTCTAAAGATTGTAGAGCTTATTTAACAATAGGTTATGATCAACTGTGTCAAAAACACGACTCAGATCGAAAAATAGAGCAAAGGGATTTTTTTATCTATCAGATATTGATAGATTTATGTACATAATACTTTAGTGGCAGTTTCAATGGATTTTTCATGTCTGAACCCGTGTTGACAATTTGAAATGAGATTGTTCTGTTGCAAAACACAAGTGAATCGTAAATTGAAAGTTCTGTCAATTACCTTGGCAAACTGGTATTGTAAGCATACATTCCTATAATTGCCAACATCTTCTTCAGATCTTTTACCCTTATAAATTAGGGCTGATTTTGATATCTTTATAACCTTTGGATAATGTCCATCAACAAACGACATGTTTGCATTTCATTAGTTCGGACTTCCATTGTCTAATATGATATAAATTGATTTGAAATCCCTGAAAGAATCTGTAAAAAATTAAAAAGATTAGCTGAAAAATAACAATTATATCATGCAGAAAAAAAACTGATATTACAATGAAATTAAATACAAGCAACAGCCAAAAAATTGAACTATTAACACGAGATTAAAATTAAAAAATTATCAACAAGAAATGAAAATTAAGAATTAAAAGATTCCAAACCAAGTTGCTTCACGGCGTTTTGATTGTGGATACTAACAATCGAGATTGAAATTAAAAAATTATTAACAAGAAATGAAAATTAAAAATTGAAAGATTCCAAACCAAGTTACTTCACAACGTTTCGATTGTGGATACTAACAATCGAGACGTCGTGAACTAACTTGGTTTGGAATCTTTTAGTTTTTAATTTTCATTTCTTGTTAATAATTTTTTAATTTTAATCTTGTGTTAATAGTTCAATTTTTGATTTTTTGGTTGTTGCTTGTATTTTATTTCATTGTAATTTCAGTTTTTTGCTTAATATAATTGTTATTTTTCAGCTAATCTTTTTAATTTTTTACAGATTCTTTCAAATCAATTTATATCATATTAGACAATGAAAGTCCGAACTAATGAAATGCACCACGAAACATTGTCAACGACCTTTATACAAACGACATGTTTATTATGTGTGATAGTGGATAATATATTAAATCAACAACTTTTTTACAGCTTTTCACAGATATCTACACCCGCAGAGATTTTTTTATGGTTTCATAGATCTCCTGTGGTGTGGATGGTCTTAAAAATATAGTACTACGTATTGAAAAATTTACGTTTCATGTAAATCTGATAAGTATGAGTGATCAATATTCGTTGACATAATGCATAGAAAATATTACATCTATGGCAGTTGAAACGGTAGTAGAAATTCGAGTTGCTTTGTTAATGTGATTTATCATATCAAATTCCTTGAAAAAATTTCAGATAAAAAATTTAAGTTGATATCACCGCATACAACATATTTTTTTTCATAGATAAGGCTCATCAGACCATACATGCTCTTTCTTTAAATATATCTAGATTGCTGGAAAATGTTATATACACAGTCACTACAAATAATTTGCCTATTTCAAGTGGATTCTCCAATCATAACTACGGTTGCTACAAAGTGTTTTTCAATGCTGTTATTGTATGTCACCGGTTTCCAGACAAGACTAAGATTTAAAAAAAAATACATAATCGCCAAGATTAAATTCTTTCCAACCAAATAAGTTTATAAGGGGGTAGCTTCTCAATCAAAGACATGTTATTTCATACATTTTCAATCATCAGATAATGTCAACAAAACGACATGAAACAAACGTAATATGTCTGATGGTTTTTAAAATAGTAATATTATCAACACGAAAAAACTACTTTTTGAGCCCCGAAGAAGATTTTAATTAAATTCGAAACGTCGGCAAGAGAACAATTGTTTACAAAAAATGTATCCTGTTACCCAACCAATCTTTTTTCAGAAAAATTATTGGATCACTAAACTAGTTAACTGAGTATTTACAATGTTTTCTCTGTTATTTGACGTTAGTTCTGATGAAACATTTTTTACTTGGTTTTCCTGTCCTACCGCCTGTCTAAAAAAGAATTAGGTCTATCCTCCACCTAATTTAGGAATGTAGGCTTTCCGGGTTTTGTCATCTTTAGTGGCGTGGTCGAAGTAGTCTTAGAATTAAGGATCATAAAAATTCGGGTGATGACTGGTCATCACCCGAAGACGATTGTAGATACCAACAATCGAAACGTCGTGAACTAACGTGACTTGGAATCTCTACACTTTTTTATTTTTATTATTTTCTTTTTCTTTTTGCATTCCTTTAATTTTTTTTTTATTTATTCAATTATTATATTTTTACTTGTAGGTTATTTTACTATCATTTCATTTCAGGTTTATTGTTGCTTAATATAATTGTTATTTTCAACTATTCTTTTTTAATTATTCTTTTTTACTTGTTTCAGGGATTTCAAATCATTTTATATAATAGACAATGGAAGTCCGAACTAGTGAAATTCAAAACAAATAGACTTTTTAACGAGGCAAATACTTTACTAAGTATAATGTTCATATGAATAAACTGTCAAAATCTATCGCAGGTAGCCACGAACAAAAAAGAACCAATAAGCGATAGTACAGAAAAATACAGTACTTAGGTAACTTAACAACTTAACAG